TGTGTGTGTGTGTGTGTGAGGGTACGTTACCTTTGCAGACCTTCCCGTCTCCGTTGTAGCCCGTCTTACACTTACAGCGGAAGGACTTTCTGGTACTCACACAGTCAGCGTCCTTGTGGCACGTGTGTGTGCCCTGGTCGCAGTGGCGGGCTGGGGAGAGAGGATGGACAGTGGTCACTCGCTGTGTGTGCTCATTGGTTGTTTGCTTGTTTATTTGTTTTTTTAAAAGTTTAGCTTTCATAAGGTTTTACGGTCACATGAGCGCTTTTGTTTGTTTGTTTGTTTGTTTGTTTATTTGTTTGGTTGGTTGAGTGAGAGTATGTGGTTAGCTATGTCTTCATTACATGTTTGCTTGTCTGTTTCTTTCTTTATTAGTTTGTTTTGTTTGTTTGAGAGAGTAAGTGAGAGTTTTTTTATTTTACACCATGAGAAACTTATATATATAGCGGCGCCCAAAAGAAACTTGAAAATGCAATCAGCGTGTTAAAGCCTTATACTACACACTCGTGCAGCATACCAATTTAAAGCTAAATGAATTTTGCATCATCTGACACATTCATATTTCATCTATTTTAAGAGAAGCCCGAGATATGGTCATTCAAAACTGACCTTTAAAAATTCAGACTTGACAAAATAAAATTGTGCGCAATCTGTGAAACTCAAAAGTGTGGTCGCGCGATTATGAAGTGCATCAACATTTGTGGAATGGACATGTATTGAATACAATAATGAAAAGCGAATATAATTGTCTCTGCAATGGACAACATCTTCTGGTGATATTTTCAAACAGATTGGAGAATAGAGCAGCCATAAATATCACACAAAACCTGGACTTAACATGTGCTGATTAGTATTAATGTTGTTTTTGTTTAGGAGCTAATGGTTTAGTGTCGAGCACGAAATCTCTTTTGCACATGGACTGTGGTTAGATAGGTTTTGGACATAATCATCTGTCAATGAGGAACAGAGGCCTTGAAACTGCCATAGTTTTGGGGGGTCTGGGGTGGAATGAACAAAACTGTCCTCATGAGAATTACCGGATGGCTTAGTTTAGTGGACTACAGCGAGCAAATGCTGGGAAGTCACGTCTTACCCTTACATCGTCATGGTGTCTTTCAAGTAGACATCTGCATGTACAGCAAAACACTTTCTCACCGGGTCGTTGCTACTAAACAATTCTTGGAAAACCAAATCGTCGGTCGCCTAGTGGTTAGGCTCTCGGACTCGTAACCGTAAGGTCGTGGGTTCGAATCCCAACAGGGGCACGACGTTGTGTCCTTGGGAAAGGCACTTTACTTTACACGAATTTTCCTCACTTCACCCAGGTGGGAATGGGTACCCGGCTATAGACAGCGAAAGATCTTGTCAGTATGTTAGTGTTTGAGCGCTTAATCAGCTGCTTGCACTGTATGCTTCCCAGGAAGCTGATGATAATATTTCGGAGTGTTCTATGGTCTGCTGGGGTAATAATATAGTGTAAAGCGCATAACCCCTGCTGTTG